CTCTCGAAACAATGGGTCATCTCGCTTAAGACTAATTTTCTCAAAACAAAATTTTGTCTCTCTTGAGACAGTTTCCATTGAAACAAAATATTTGAATATGTTTTCCTTGAAACTAATTTCGTCTCCCTTGAGACAGTTTCCTTGAAACAAATTTTGTCTCTCTTGAGACAGTTTCCCTTGAAACAAAATATTTGAATATGTTTTCCTTGAAACTAATTTTGTCTCCCTTGAGATCGTTTCTTTTGGAACTAAGTTTTGTCTCTCTTGAGACAGTTTCTCTTGAAACAAATTTTGTCTCCCTTGAGACAGTTTCCCTTGAAACAAAATATTTGAATATGTTTTCCTTGAAACTAATTTCGTCTCCCTTGAGACAGTTTTCTTGAAACAAATTTTGTCTCTCTTGAGACAGTTTCCCATGAAACAAAATATTTGAATATGTTTTCCTTGAAACTAATTTTGTCTCCCTTGAGATCGTTTCTTTTGGAACTAAGTTTTGTCTCTCTTGAGACAGTTTCTCTTGAAACAAATTTTGTCTCCCTTGAGACAGTTTCCCTTGAAACAAATTTTGTCTCTCTTGAAACAAATTTTGTCTCTCTTGAGACAAATTTTGTCTCTCGTGAAACAAATTTTGTCTCTCTTGAGACAAATTTTGTCTCTCTTGAAACAAAATCTTTGAATATGTTTTCCTTGAAACTAATTTCGTCTCCCTTGAGACAATTTCTTTTAGAACTAAGTTTTGTCTCTCTTGAGACAGTTTCTCTTGAAACAAATTTTGTCTCTCTTGAAACAAATTTTGTCTCTCTTGAGACAGTTTCCCTTGAAACAAAGTTTTGTCTCTCTTGAGATAGTTTCTCTTGAAACACCAATCTTTGAATATGTTTCTCTTGAAACAAAATTTTGCCTCCCTTGAGACAGTTTCTCTTGAAACATAAAAAAACATTTGAAATTGTTTCTCTTGAAAAAAAACCTTTGAAAATGTTTCTCTTGAAACACAATGCCTTCGAGTCCGATTACACTCAGCTTCGAGGGCACATTATTTGTAGCATAACTCAAGGCTAGAAGGGTTATCTATCAACAAAGACCTTCGAATTCAACTACGCTCAGCTCCAAGGTACATCATTTGCAGCATAACTTAAGGCAAGAAGGGTTATCTGTCATCAAAGACTTTCGAGTTCGATTACATTCAACTCAGAGGCAAATCAAATTTACAGCATAGCTCAAGGCAATAAGAGCTATCTGCCAACAAAATTGTCGAGTTCGATTCCATTCAGCTCGATGAAACATCAATCACATTACTTTCCGGTTGCAGTCGAAGTTTTCAAGTCGATAAAAAGACCTGGGTTAGCCGTGCCTTAGTGACAAGCAACAATTTTCAAGCAGCATAGCTTAAGTCAAGAAAAGCTATCTGTCAATGAAGATTTCTGAGTTCGATTCCAATCCAAGAAGAAGTCCGAATAGTAACGAGAAGCCACGTGCTGATTCAAATTTCGAACTACGACTTCAATTCAATATCATTTCAAGATGAACTCGACTTCACGACGGAGGAGTCATCCACAACTCAATTCAACAGGGAGTTATTGAAACATCAGAGTCAATTTTCAACTCCACTGAACGAAAAGTGTGTCTTTTAATCTTTGCCCTATCCCCGTTACACGACTATGGGCAAATAGGGGCAGTTGTCAATATATTTTTTTGTCCGGGTACAACACTCTCAACAACCCCGATTTAGTGGGATTCAGAAAATAAACATAACATTAGAGTTTTACTATGATTCAAACTCCTAAAAATAGGATAGAGTTTTACTAGGATTCAAACTCCTAAAAATATGATAGAGTTCTACTATGATTCAAACTCCTAAAAATAGGATCCAGAAGCATTATAAATAGCCATTGTAACTCACTATTGTAACACACGATTTACATACAAAATACAGAGGAAAGCAATAAAAAAATACAAAGGCAAAGCTATTGTAAACGATTCGGAAAGGAAATAAAAGGTATCATCTTTTTTACCTTTATTCATTCATTTCTCGTATGTGCATGTTATTTTTCTTGAGATTTGGTTCGAATAACCCAAAACTTGGGTTACGCCGATGACCAAAAAGGGGTGAGGTTTCGAAGTTTCGAACCTAGATCTACCCCCGAGGCGTGTTCATGTTTTTAAATATTTAATTCTCCCCCCTAAATCAATTTTTTTGCTTCGAAATTTGCCCATCGATTTGTTTTTCCTTTTAATTCGGTCCCTTACATTCACGTTTTAATTATTATTATTTTATTTATTTAACTTTATTTATACTCACATTTCCCTTATTACTCATTTTATTTAATTACTTTGTTATTTTTCTTTTTTTCATGTAATATTTTTTACATTTTATGCATTTTTTTACTTTAGTATATATTTATATTTTTTTAGATTACATATATATATATATATATGTTAATTTTTATTATCTGTTTTATTAATTTATATATATATATATATATATACTATTTTTTTATGTTTTTATTAATTATATATATATATATATATTATTTTTACTTTTTTATTATTATTTTATTTATTTGTTTTATTTATATATTTTTTTCTTCTTTTTCTTTATTTTTAAATTTTTTTCTTTATTTTACTTACTATTTTATCTTTGCTTTCTTTATCTTATATTTTATTTAATTTGTTTTTTCTTCATTTTAATTTAATTTATTTATTTATTTATTTCTTACATTTTTGTCTAACACGTTTTTTGGCTCTCTTAAGGGTACACCTTTAAAACTATCTAAGGTAAGTAATTGAGATCGTATTTTTACCTTTTAATTTTAAATTACAATTTTCTTAATTTAAGACAACTGGAAATTGCGTAGTACTGAAGGGGCAGTTCAAGGGTACTAATCATTCCTTGACTGTAACCGACTCTCGAATCCGACACATCTTTGAAAAGAAGCAGATCATGTAAGAAATAGGGTATCCGATCAACCCATTTGTTTTAAAATAAATGATCAGTGACAACTTCAATTCGTTTAATCCAAGTCGAAGCCTAATTTCGGGCTCAACCGAAAGACGGTTGCAACAGAGTTATTTTGCCCTTTCTTATCTTGAGAGCTTTGTTATTTGAAATTTCTCTCTCTCTGATGCATTAACATCTTAACAGAGGATTTACGAGCAAAAAATATCAACTTATATGTAAATTAATAAGTTGCACTTGATTTGATGTTTATAACTGTAAGAATCTCTTGTAGTTAAGGCATAGCATAATGAGTAGTCTTGCTTTTCATTGAAAACGAAAGCCTCAAATTTAATCTGTTGAACTATAAATGCTAAAATTAAAAAATAAAAGGGGAGAAAACATTACCTTGAGGATGGAGGATGCAAAGTTCTAAGCTTGAAAAAATCCCATAAGTAGAGTTGGTTTAAAGCCGCAAACTTGACTTAGGGGTTGTTTGTTTACTTCAGAATGATTAAGCGCTGAATGATTCAAATGTTAAATGATTCAAAGGCTCTAAATAAATTAGTTCTGAATGTGACATGCTGTTTGATAATGGCTCTGAATCATTCAGAATGTACTTCTGTGCTGAATCATTTAACACTGTTTTGCTGAATCAGTCAGCACTGAATCATTCAGAGATGCGAAACAAACGCGTTGAATACTGAACGGTTCAAGATTCAACACTGAATGGTTCTATTAAGAGGCAAACAAACAGCCCCTTAGCAAAGAAATCTATTATCTATTAGTAAATGCACATTAAGGTGTGGTGGCATCCTTTATGAAGAAAAAATTATAAACCTCAAAATTCCATTGCGCTTTTGTTCTTTCCTAATCCCTACCATTTGGGTATTACTTATTTGAAACATTTATGTTGCTTTTGTTTTCCCTATTACAATGTTGAATTTTTTTCTTATATTTACTATATTCAGTGTCATGGTTGACGTTAAATTATTATACTAGGAAACAGTGAGAACATATCCTAACCCTTGGTTTTGGATATCTATTGCAGAAGAAGGCTTGTCTCGCTGTGGATTTCAGGTTGTTAGGCTAAATACATACACAACTGTGAGTATCTTCGTATTGGTACTTCTAGTTTCAGTTTCCTCTCCAGGTGTCATTCCATTAATGTTTACATTTTTTCACCTTATCTACCTAATCTGAAGTTGAATTGCTTTGTTTTTTTTAGTTCAATAGAAACTTAATAACGCCTGCAAATTAATCTGTCTATTGTAATGTTTTTTTTGAAGTGACGTCTATTGTAATATTGAGCGCAATTCATCAACATAATCCAAAAATTAATTTTATAAGGTCTGGGCAATGCCCCAGATGCATGAATATTTTGAAGAATAACTATCTCCTGCAGGATGCTGTTGGAGTCTGCTGACATCCCATGAAGGTCTTAGGGATTGTAGCGTGCAGATTCATGTTGAAGTAAAAAAAAAAAGAATATCTCACGCGGACCATGCTTCAAGGTTTGTTCCTGATTTAAGCTAGTTGCTTGTGATCGAAGACGGTTTACAACTGTCAACTGATTCTTCTATCTTACTTTGATGTTCTTTTGTTTAGTTTACAACCCACACGGTCACACTTGAATTGCATTTTGGAATGGAGAACCTTTCTTGGGATTTAAAAATTATGATTGGTGTTTCTCAAAGCTACAAGAATGAGCATACAAGTGTTTTGTCTGTTCACTAGAATTTCGTTGTTAAAGTCATTACCAGTCGATGGAGGACCTCCATCCACTGGAGCATTTTCCTTTCTATTCTGGCAGAAAGACAAATGGAGAGTAGCTAAGCCTAGATCCTGAATTGTATAAGCATGTTTTCACTCTGAATGCACCAGACAAAGGCAACGATATATTGAAAACTGTAATAAATTAAGGCATAAATTGTTTCTCGAAGAACTTGTTAATCTAACCAATTGGTTAGCAACAGCAACCCATTCACAGTGTGGCAATTAAAAATCTCTAGTATAATTTGCTCATCTGTAGTTACCTTTATTGTCTTTTCCTTGGGCAGATTGCACAGTTTCTAGAATCCTATGGTTTCTTGGATTATCTGGAGAGCGGTCTAGGTTCTGACGAAAACAGTGATAATCTTCTCGACAAATTACAAGATGCCCTAGGAAGAGGACAAAATCCTTTTCTCAAGTTGTCTTGGAGAAGGCCCTATCTGCACCGGTTGTTGTTGCTTCACCTTCTGCAGTTTGGTATGTAGTTGATCCTTTTTCTCAACAACTGTAGACTGTCTCAAAATGTTTTTCCGTTTGTTAATCTGTTATAGAGGATGTTCTTCTATTGAGCTTATCTTCAGCGAGCTCATTATCCGTCTTGTAGACTTGTTGCTTCATATAATTGGAATTATCATGGTAGCTGGACTTTGATTGACACCCTTTGATATGGACAACTTGTGCCTGCTTGGGCCGCCTGATTTGGCAAGGCTCTTGTTAAGACAATTTCTTGTTTATGGTAAACTTGGTTTGTGCACCTCCATTGTTACAGAACATGGGTCAATCTTATTTCGGAGCCTGATTCTTGGAGCAACGCTGTTGTCTGTATTGGGGAGATAACTGCCTCTGCTGCAAAAAGATTAGGACTGAGAAATGTGTATTTCCCAATGCAGCCTGGACTTGATGGGTAACTTTTTTTCCCTCCCTCTAAAATTTCTGCATGATGTTTTAGTATTAGCATTTACTGCTCTGCTAATTTATACGGGTAACCTTAGGTAACTAAGGGCAGGTTAGCGTTTGAATTTCATCTGCTTTTGAAGCAACAAATGTTTTTTGCTTCAATAGCCAAGGCTTTGTCAGCAAAACCTGTACTCTATTGAGTACTGAGATATCTTTGAGATGAGCTTCCTTGACTTGGCAAAAATGATCTGGCTAGTTTCTTCTATTATGGTCACTTTTCTCTGTTTAATAAACCTTTTTTTATCATTATTACTTATCAAGTTAGAATTTGTTTTGGATTCTGACTAAATTAAAGAATCTGATTTCTTGGATTTCTATGGATTACCAGATGGGTCGGCAGCATCCTTGAAGCCTTAAGAGATCATGACAGTTAGGATTGAAAGATACCAAGGTGTCCATTTTTGCCTCTTTTTTCTAGTTATTCCTGGAAGTAGTCTCATATTTTCTCATAGAATAAATTAGTTTTTCTGTTATATGTTTGCTGAATAATTGGAGCCTGTTTTCTGTTCTTTTGTATGGGATGCTTTGCTGGGTGTGCTCCTTATTGGTGCAGGGTAGTATGTTGTGGATTGTGGGATGCTGTTCGAAGTGTTGTATATTGCCTATGTCCCGACATCGATATGGTGCCCTTTTTTCCTCCATTTAGGTTTATGGAGGTTTTTTAACGAGGCCCATATCGTTTGTCCTGTTTTGTATGCATATTCAATAAAATCATACAAAACGCCCCTTTAAAAAAAAATTCTGTTAGGTCCCTTGGAAGCTTCGACACAGAGTGAAGCAGATGCAGAACCGCAAGCAATTTTAATTCTGTGAGGCACAGGCCATAGCAAGTAAAGAAAGATTTGCCAAGTAGAAGGATTGGGATTTGTAGAAATTTAACATTTTGAAGGTACATATCCTTTTGGAGGCTGCAGCACTGCTTTTCATTGTCAGTAAGAGGCTATTCAATTCACATTGTCATAATCTGTACATGCATTTTCTTACTGTAAGCCCATTCTTTTGACTCAATGTCAGTTGTGTTGAAATTGAATGGGGGGAAATTTCACTCCATGAAATCTGATGAGCAGTTAGTAGACTATCAATTGAACTTGTAATCATAGTTACCGTGCCTTTCATTTTTTATGCATTCCTTTGTGATAATAATAAAAAAATCTCTTTAACCTAAAATGCTTGTCTAAAATCGTCACGTGTATGCTTATACTGAAATATTTTAAATGTTGCTGTCAAACCTTGCCTTATTACGAACTTGATGACCTGATAAGGCCAATACTGAATTTGTGCTTGTGTGGGAGTGGGATGAATTCTTTGAAATTTGTCAAGTTGCAATAGAGAGGTTTTGGCAGTCATTATGTGAGCTCTGTACGCTTTTGGCCCAACTTGTGCTTGGTTGATGCACTGTAAAGATTTTATCTTTATTAGATAGTTGCTAAGATGAAAACATAACAATACTTGTCCATACATTTCTGTAACTTTTTTTAAATAAACTCCATCTGCAGAGGAGTGGTTCAATTTATTTAGCGTCCATTTTATAGATAGTCCTTCTCCTACAGGAAATTATATAGAGAAAGCATGTCAGCTTGGCAGTAAATTTCTGGAATTTCAGATCAAGAATATTCCCGCAATAAAATACATACCGTAAGGGTTCTTTTTAAGACGACGGATGACCTGGAGGCAGTTTCCCCTGAAGGAAAGATGTGATCATGGTAAGTACTCTTGCTGGCTTGTAGCTTGGAACCGTGTGTCCAGCTCCCCGAACTGTGGTGAAAACCACTCCCTTGTAGCCAACGACATATCCTCCAACCTGCCACCATTAGACATGGAATATGCATTAAAAGGTTTTGGCATTGATTCATCGAATGACGGGAAAAAATCCATATTACCTCACTGTCAGAGTACCATGGCTGCCAAGCAGTCTCTACTGGAAGCTGTAGGGACTTGATGGCATACCGAGAGGAGGTCACTGGAACTCGACCATCTGTATCGCCACTGGAAGCAGCAGATTTTAATAAATAAAAAAAAGTACATACTATTATATAGACTATTAGTAATTCTCCTTTTCTTTTAGTACTTTAGTTTTGTTGAGGAAATTAAGCGAGTTTTTAATCTATACCTGTATATCCACACACTAATCACTTTTGCCAACTCCCGTATTTGAGGAAGAGTAGAACTTGGGCTGTCTGTCCATCCAACATCACTGGGCATGATACACAAGCAGACTGGTCAGAGATATTTGTTTCATCCTCTATAGGTTCTTTGATTTGGTATAAATATTTTTCTTCCGATTTGCATGTATATGATGCAGAAATACTTCTGAAAACAATTTTGTTAAAGTCAAATTAGAGTTTTATTTTGCGAATGTCTTTGAAAGGAGTAAACTGTGGTCGTGCTTACCCGCATCCTGACCATTTTGTAGCTTTGGCATGAAGAGCTGCTTGTACCTCGGCAAGATTTAGGTAGGACTCAACGTGAACGCCAGCGCAGGGATCAAAATTCAAGACCTAACAATTCAACACCATCAGAGAATTAGGTTGGCCCCTCTCTTTATGGTGTATTTGCTTTGAAAACAAAAAGCCTTCGTTTCAGATCTTATACAAGTTTGAATTAAACCTACAGAACCAGTGGGTAAAAGCTTTTGTATCCTACTAATTTCTTCATTGTTTTTGGTAGAAGACTTGTCATGAAGCATGATGATACTTACATTACCATTTGAGTCAGGTTTTATGGCCGATCGGTTGCATATAGGGGCGTAAATGCCGTACAAGTCAATGTCTCCCATTTCCATTAGTCCCTGATTTTGATACTTGTCACATTGCTCCACAGTGATGTTGGTAACCAGATTTTCACTAGCAAAGTCGCAGTACTTATTAATTCCTTCATTGGTCTCATCCGAGTTAAGAGCGTGTGTCCATAAATAATCAAATAGCCCCTTCGTACAGATGTCATCATCTATCCAGGCATTTCCTATCTGCAATATGTAGCCATTACAAACATGTAGACAAGGTTTATGGTGGTAGAAGGGTGAATTTTTGTAGTAAACTTACAGCAATTCCTTTGAGATTGATGACGGTTTGATTTGTGCCCTTGTTTCTCGAGAGAATATAAGAAGCGAGCTGAGGAACATAATGACCGGCATAGCTCTCACCGGTTATAAAGAGATCTCGTGTTTTATACTGTGGAAATCTTTCAAGCCAGTTGAGGAGAAAAACATAGGAGTCCTCTGCTGTTCTCTTGTCACCTACGTCAGTATAGTCGGAGGAATTTTTTGAATAAGAGAATCCAACTCCTGCTGGTGATTCCAGGAATAACACGTTTGCAACTGCAAAATTTGAGAAATGTTTCGGTAAAAGAATCAAGGAGAATTTGAGATTGTGATGATGTCAAACCGAAAAGAGAGTTCATGTACCAGTGTTCCATGCATATTCATTTCTGTATAGCGTTTTCCCGTCACTATTTACTCTGAAAGGTCCCAACTCTTGCATGGCTCCAATTCCAAAAGACGAGCATCCTGGACCTGTACAACAACGTCCATCAACCTTTTTTCTCTTTCCACAACAATGCCTAAAGCCTATACTGCTATATAGTAAGCAGATTGAAAATGATACGTATTTTATCGTGTTGAATGCGAATACGTATCCAATTTCAACTTTTCGAGCTTTTATATATTTAAAAAATCACAAATCATATTTGTATTCAAAGAACATTAAGCATAAATATCAAAAAATAGTATTTAAAAGAAAATTAAGAATCTGGTTTATAGACCACGAGAAATCTTTTATGTAATGCTAATATATTTGTTACAGCTGGGAAAAATAGAAAAAACGTCCAGAACTCTGCTGGGAATTATTTGGAGATAATCTGTGCATTATAGCTGTTTCAAATTTGACTAATTTCAAGGGCAGATACGTCGATTCTTTTCCTAAACTCACAGTCCAGGGAGAAGGAAGCACATGCCACTGTAGGAATCTTTTAACTTTGAACAGTTTGATAATGATTAACTCAGTGAAGCTGTTTAGGTACAAAACACAGAGACCATCGAAAAAGTCGATAACGATATATTCAATTAGTGGGCGGCGCCCACTAAATTATGTGTCGGAATGATGCTTTAATCATCATCAAGCTTCGAGATAACGACCACCATTGGTCCGTTTCGCTTGTGGGAAATCGTTCACTAATCGTTTGAAGATAAGACTCGAGCGGGATATTATTGTTTCAAGGTAATGGACAACGTTATTTCTACCCTGAAATAATAAACAACCAAGGACAGATTCGTGTCTGAACGCTAAACAACAGATGCAACGGCATATTCAGGTACGATTTAACATGATATTTTTCTATAATTATGCAACAAACGTAAAAATATATCTGCGGATATAGAGTCGACAGCTATAAACGAGTTTCAGCAGTTAAATTACCTCCGTTTAACCATAAAACGAGGGGCTTATTCAGAGAATCCACCGATGACTCCACAAAATAATAGAACAATGCTCGGTCAGGCACTGGATCTACTGTTACATAGCCCGCGTACTGATCAAAATCCACCCCTCCAGGCTGACCTGGCAATGTGTCGATCTTGTCAGCTTGCATCAACCCTTTCTGAGATCTTTCGAACACCGGAGAGTCATGACTGTTTCCTAAATCATCTAGGCGAGCCCACAACTCAGAGCGAGGAGGGTTGGAGGATCTGCGAGCTGCAATCAAACGGTTGAGATTATCAATCTGGTTTCCCATACATGATGAAATGGGGTAACCCGGGAAGTAGTAAGGAAGTAGCAGCAGCAACCATATCACGATAATTCTCATCGCTGTTAATGTAAATTTCAGCGCAGAGTTTGTTGCCTCTGAACTGAAGAGCTTATGCCAACTTGTAGTGCCACTCTAGTGCGTCTGAATGTATATATACATGTGGAAACTAATAATTGTATATTTGATATTCTTTTGTTGGCAAGTTGAAGTTTGCAGCACTTGGCTATTGGGGCCGACTTGATACCGCCATTTAGGGACGAATTTTAATCCACTTTTGGATTTGGATATTATCTTTTTAATCTCTCTCTCACTGTATACCCCTTGTATTCTAGTAGTACTTAACCTCATAGAATGGCTGCAATTTGAGCGGCGGTTTTCAAAACCCCCAGTAAATGCTAATTGCATGATTGGTCCCTAGAGTTACTGTATCCAATCTTTCCCCAAATTGATGAGTGCAGTGCTTAGCCATTTGTTTCTTCACAGCGATGTATATTCCATTTTTGTTGAGTTGGGTTGGGTACTTTTCACATGAGAACCTGTCATCATCCTTATCTCTAGTGTTGATTAGTGGTATATATGTGCTGCATGTTGCAGGCAAAAGCAAGGCACCATCCATCCCATCACTCCAATAATTTAATTAAACATGTCTAGAAAGCACTTAGTTTTGATTATCTCCAAGGCTTGGAATTTGGATTAATAATTGAGATTCAATTTCTGATTAACCTGGATTGTGGAGCCAGCCGGGATTCCACTTTTTCCTTATCATTGCTTATAGGAAAAAAAGAAGCTGAATCACCCACGCTGCTTGTCTTCGTATACACAAAAATACATACACATGGAGTTGTTTTATAATAAATTTATACATATTATATTGATTCTCCAAATATTAATATTAATCATTAGTTTATAACACTTTTTAGATGTTTCAATTTTTAAAGTTTTATAGGAATTAAGCGATCTTGGTGATAAATGAATTATTGTTATTTTTTGAGGAGGTTCGAGTATCATGAATAATAGACATGTGAACGTTCAATGTCAAATTATTAAGAGTTATCTTTGAACATATACTACCTTGTACTTACCTCATATTAATCAAAATTTAATCCACAATCAATTTCTTTTTACTCTGTTCATGCCTATAAAAGTGGCTTTTAGCTCTAAGATTAGTTAATTATAGAGTTGAGTCTGAGTCTAATTCTACTTTAAATAATTTTTTATTTATATAAGAAAATACAAACTTAAAAGAAGTTTAAACTCCTTGTTTCTTGGTTGAAATGGAAATAATATGAAGGACTACATAGGGCGAGTTAAAAAAACACGCAGTCGCCCTTAAAAATACAATCAGATGGTACAATAATGTAAACTTTGACAGATGAAACACAGCGAAGCATGGCCAATTAGGTTTATATTAGACAGAAAGAAGGAAACCCTAAATTTGCGACTGGCAATGCCGTCAAAGGGAGGGATCCAATGATATAAACAGCGAAGCATGGCCAATTTTCGTAATTTTAATATGAGAAAATAACCTCAGTGACCAAAAATCCCATATAATATACGATTTTAACCAACTTTTTCCGCATTTTCTAAAATGACCAACAAAATCGCAATGCGATCGCTAATTCGCAACGCGATCTCCATTATCGCAAATTCGCGTTGCATTTCGCGTTGCGATAGTTGGAAATCGCGTTGCGATGGTATACAATGTCGTTGCGATTTTCCCAATTCGCAATGCGAATAAGTAAATCGCAACGCGAATTGGGAAAATCGCAATGCGATACTTATCACAATGCGATAATACAAAATCGCAACGAGATACTGACTTTCGCAACGCGGTTCTGACTTTCGCAACGCGATTTACATAGCGCCATTCGTATTAACGCGTATTTTTTTTTTTCAAATTCCAAACACGAATTTTTTCTTAATAAATCGGAAACTGAACCGTCCACAGTAATCGCAACTCATAACCTCAAACCCAAAAACACAACACTCAGTCCCATCTCCATCTCTCACTCTCTACGGCGAAATCCGTCCCCATCTCCGAAGATTTCCGTCCCCATCGCCGGCGAAATCCCTCACAACCATTCACAGTCAAAAATCCCTCACAATCATTCAGAAATGGAAAATCAACCTCCGAGGGTTAGTTTTTTTTATTTTTATTTTGAAATTTTTGCATTATTTTAGGTTTTTCATATTGAGATTGATGATAAGTTTACTGGTAATTTCAATAATAGATTAACCATTTCACTTAGATTTCTTATTAAATTCATTCGATTGCTGCCAATACTGCTAATCTGTTTAGCCTGTGAAGTTAGTATTTGTCTTTGCTTTGTCTTTTGGTTGAAGTAATGCAGAAGAAGAATAGTTTCGAGAATGAAAATCGCAACGCGGAAATAACTATCGCAACGCGAAATAAAAATCGCAACGCAAAACCAAAATCGCATTGCGATTTTCATTTCGCGTTGCGATTTTCATTTCGCGTTGCGATTTTTATTTCGCGGTTGCGATTTTCATTTCGCGTTGCGATTCTCTCGTTGCGATAGTCATTTCCGCGTTGCGATTCTCATTATCTCGTTGTGATTTTCATTTCAACCAAAAGACAAAAACAGTGTTGCAAGTTTTAGTTTCAAGAATAAACTACTATTTATGTTTATTGTTTTGTTTTTGGTATATCTTGACAGTGTAATTTTTGGTATATCTAACTTGGTATGTTTATTGTTTTTTTGTAGAAATTTTTTTCGGCTTCATTGACATTAAGGAATAAAGTTAGCCTAGCCACTACAATTGCTTCGAAGCTTTCACCTGCACAAAGAAAATTGTTTGAAGAAACCTGCTTCGGGCCATGGCTGAGAGTACAGCATCCGGGTGGAGATGCTAGTTTGACCCATTTGTGGCTTCAGACCATGACTAGCGATCTACCCGACAGTATACAACGTGGTGAGGAAGAGATATGGTTTCATTTTCCACCGGCGTATACTTGTTTTGGGCGGAAGGAGTTCTGCTTAATCACTGGTCTACGATTCAGACACGATGATGTAGGCCGGTACACTCGTCATATCACCCGCCCATCATGGTTATCCAGGGTTTTTCATGATGAGTCAATAGAGAAGCCGAACTTACACGTCGACGACATGAAGAAATTGTTTAATAAGAAAGATGGTTTTACTCGGATGAATGACGTCGATGTTGTCCGAGTATGCCTTCTACTACTTTTGTATGCCGGCTTTTTAGGCAGAGAGGCCAGACAACATATTCCTCAGGAGCTAATATTATTGGTAGAGGACCTAAATGCATGGAATCTGTTTCCGTGGGGTTCGTATATATGGAAAGCTACCTGGACTAAGTTGTCGTCTGCCTTTGATGACCGCAAAAGTTTGCGGGGCGATGGGTCGAAATACACTTTGTCAGGCTTTGTTTGGGCCTTTAAGGTAAGAATTTCTATATAATGTTTTCAAAATTATAATTAATTATTTAACAATTACTAATGTTTGTTATTATATTGTTTGTAGATTTGGATATTCGAGGCCTTTCCCGCCATGAAGACATATGCAATAAAAACTTCAAATGATATTCCCAGGGCTATTTCCTGGAAGAGGAAACGTCTGTTGGATTGGGAAGACTTAATACCATATGCGACAATAAATAATGTAAGTTAACACAAATACTATCATATATAAACAAGTTATTAATATTAGACGTTTAACTTTGTTTGAGTTTTTATATTTTTAGGAGGCCAACATTCCATTAATGAGACTGACACCCACGGAGGCTGAGCTTGCCACTGATTGGTGGCAAGCTAGTCAGCGTTTTCTTGATGGCACGAATGATGAGCAGCCTCCACTTCCTCCACTTCGAGAGCCATCACCTCACCTAGAGCCATCACCTGATCGACCCGACTATACACCTCTACAACGAGAGCCATCACCTATCCCGTCACATCATCGAGCCTCTTCTCCACCATCACCTCATGATAGGCGACCGGCAAAGATGCCACGACTTCTATCTCCCTATTCTCCACCTCCACGGGATGAGTCAAGGGAGTTACGTGATGAGGTCAATGCCTTGCGTGAGGAGATCGGTACTCTACTTGATAACGATGGTGCATGGCGTGTGGAGGTGTCTACTTTACGTGGTGAGGTTGCCGCTCTACGTGAGATGGTAGTATCGTTGTAGAATGAGGTTCATACTCTACGCAACGAGGTAAGTTTAAGATTTTCCATATTTAACTTGATGATAAATTTACTCGTAATTTCACTTAAATTAACCATTTCACTTAGATTGCTTAGTAAATTTATTCGGTTGCTGCCAAAACTGCTAAACTTTTTACTTTAACACTGTGAAGTTAGTATTTGTCTTTGTTTTGTCTTTTGGTTGAAAGTTTGAAATATATTTATCTTTGTTTTCACTGTTTAAATATAATGTCTGTTTATTTACTGATATTTGTATTTTTATTTAGCGGACCGATAAGGTGGATGCTTTACGTCGGGTTTTTCTTGCACGACAGAGTTCACGCATCAGACGGCGTGCACGTGCTATTAAGTCTCCGTATACCCCAATAGTGCGAAGACACCGCAAGAAGAAGCCCGACTCGCCTATCATCCCTCAAGAGTCCACTCCTATCGTTGAAGAGGCCCCTATCATTCCTCGAGAGTCCCCTCCCACCGTTCAAGAGGCCACTGTCATCGTTGAAGAGGTCCCTCCCACCATTCAAGAGCCCGATTCACATGGCGTCATATATAGGATTCTTGAGAAACCCTCTGACGTGCCGGACATGATGGATTCAAGTTGGCTCTCGTATGAGTTACCGGCCAGTACCATACCGGTATCTGAAGAGGAGAGGAAACAACTACCGGACACAATTCTGGATAACACCCTTTGGGCTAAGACCGCAGTTGATTTTTATCTACATGAGCGAAGCCAGGGGTGTTTCACTGACATATGCAAGCTCAATGATGATATCTATTTGTTGCTTGATCGGTCTTGGTGGGGCGTATTATTAGGGGTCGAAGACAATGGCTATTTCGATGGAGGGGTAAGTCTTATATTTTTCTTATATTTTCATTTGATTATTTTTTTTGTAAATTTATGTAAGTTACTAATATATGTCTTTTTTTGTAAAACAGCATATCGATGCG